TTATTTAATTATGTTTATCAATAAATCCCACTCTTTGGAGGTATTTTTTTAAAGATGGTGATTTTTTTTATTGCCTGATGATTTATTGATAGCTGTAGTCATAATAAACAACATGTAAGTTTGTTTTCTTTTGGGCATTTCATTCTGAATGGGAAGGTGTGAAAAAATTATGTGATTTCCAGCTTATTATTTTCCACCTATTTAATTTTGTTCTGCCCTGGATAATTGGTACTTCTTGATGTTTTTGAGTGGGAACCAGATTGTTAATTGGTTACAGAATTATGTGTATAAGAAATAAAAAATATTTCTCAATAGAGGAATCACGAATGACTGAGAAGCACTTAAAGAAATGTTCAATGTCATTAGTCATCAGGGAAAAGCAAATCAAAATGAGACTGAGATTCCATCTTACACCCATCAGAATGGCTAAGATGAAAAACTCAAGTGACAGCACATGCTGGAGAGGATGTGGAGAAAGGGGGACCCTCCTCCACTGCTGGTAGGAGTGCAAACTTGTACAACCACTTTGGAAATCAATCTGGCACCTTCTCAGAAAATTGGAACAGTTCTACTGCTGGGTATATACCCAAAATATGTTCCACCATACAACAAGGACATTTGCTCAACTATGTTCATAGCAGCTTTATTCATAATAGCCAGAAACGGGAGTCAATCCAGATGTCCTTAAACTGAAGAATGGATAAAACTATAGTACATCTACACAGTGGAATACTATTCAGCTATTAAAAACAAGGACATTATTGAAATTTGTAGGTAAATGAATAGATCTGGAAAAGATCATCCTGAGTGAGGTATCCCAGAACCAGAAAGACACACATGGTATATACTTACTTACAAGCAGATATTAGCCACACCATACAAGAAAACCATACTATAATCCACAGACCTAAGGAAGCTAAGTAACAAGGAGAACCCTAGGGAGGATGCTTAATTTTCATTCAGAAGGGCAAATAAAATAGACACCAGAAGTGGCTGAATAGAGGGAACCTGAAAAACACCACCCAGCATGGGATGTAAGTAGATGTGGAGACTCACAGCCAAACTTTGGGCAGAATGTAGGGAGTCTTATGGAAGTGTGTGTGTGTGTCGGGGAGAGGGTAGAAGGACCCAGAGACAACAGGAGCTCCACAAGGAGACCAAAAGAGCTCACAACCTGGGCCCAAGGGGTCCTGTGGAGATTGATGCAGCAACCAAGGACCATGCATAGAGAGGACCTGGGCCCCCTTCTCAGATGTAGCCAATAGGCAGCTCAGTCTCCATGTAGGTTACCTAGTAAGGGGACCAGGGGCTGTGTCTGACATGAACTCTGTTGCCTGCTCTTCGATCACTTCCCCTGGGTGAGGCAGACTTGCCAGGCCACAGAAGAAGAGGATGCAGGTAGTCCTGAAGAGACCTGGTGGTCTGGGGTGAGTTGATAAGGGAGAAGGGCTCCCCCTTTCTGAGGATTAGGGCATGGGGGTGGGGGGAAGAGGGAGGGGCCTACGATTGGGATGTAAAATGAATAATAAAAAAATCAGACATTAAAAATGAAAGTATTTTATTGATCCTTTTATCACAGAGTTACGGAATATTCTATATTTTAATAAAACATGAGACTAAGTTAATAGCCCATTGGCTTAAAGTGCTTATTTTGGACTTGATCCCAGCCCTGGGGGAATGGAGACAGTTAGATCCTGGGGCTCCCTGGTTACCTGGGCTAGTCTGCTTGCTTAGTCCAGGCTCACTGGAGACCCTGACTTCAACCTCCCTCCAAAAGCGTAAACCTAGACCAAACAAAAAACATGTTTGTGAAATAACACCCAAGCTTGTTCTCTGGTCTCTTCACACATGTGTGGACATGTATTTGTGCTCTCCCTCCCCACTGATACAGGACCATCATTTTGATAAAAAGAACTTATAAACTTTTTGGCACCTGAGAAACATTCTTAGATATTGTTAGGCTAATTTCTTTTCTTTGTCCTTTATTAGTTTTAAAAATCTTATTCTTAATGTCCATGGACTATTTCTTTGTGACTGGCTAGCCTCTTGATCTTAATGAACATATTGCATACTGACAAAGTCAACTTTGTCTTGTGGGCTTTACATGATTTTTAAATAAGATTTATTTATGTATTTTGTGTACATGGATGTTTTGTACATTTGCAGATCAAAAGAGGGCATCAGGTCCCGTGGTGCTACAGCTATAGATGGTTGTGAGCTGCCATGTGGGTGCTGGGAATTGAACACAGGACCTCTGGAAAAAAGGCCAGTGCTGTTAACTGCTGGGCTCTTACATATATATATATATATATATATATATATATATATATATATATATTCATATAGGTCTTCCCAGGTTATTGTTTGTTGTAGTCTGTGCTATGCATAAGAATTTCTCAAAAAAAAAAAAAGAATTTCTCTGCTATACTTATATACCATGATTTATACCCATAATTTGTGGAGTTCCTTGTTCTGAGAATATAAAGTCAAAATGTAAAAGGAACTTTTTTCAACACTGGGTAACAGAAGTTAGGTCATTGTTACATCTTTTTCATTATTTTGGTTCTATTTGTGTGTGTGTGCGTGTTGTGTGTTAGTTTGATTGAGAATGGCTCCAATAGGCTCATATATTTGAATGTTTTGTAGACTGTACAGGAAAGATTAAGAGGTAAGGCCTCATTGGATAAAGTGTGTCACTTGGAGGTGGGCTTTGAGATTTCATGATAATCATGGACCAAACCTCTGAGTCTGTAAGCAAACCCCCAATTAAATGCTTCTCGAGTACCTGGGTTCAATTCCCAGCACAACTGCCTGTAACTCCAGTTCCAGGGAACCCGACACCTTCTCTGGCACCAAGTGCGTAAGTGGTGCACATAATTTACAGGCAGACCAAACAGTCATACACATAAACAAATTAGCTAGCCAGGTATGGTGGCAAAGTCCTTTAATCCTAGCACTCTGGAGGCAGAGAAAGGTGAACTCTGAATTCAAGGCCAGCCTATCTGCGTAGGGAGTTTTGGGACAGCCAGAGCTATCCACAGAGACTCTGTGTCAAAATAAAACAAAACATAACAATAAAAAACAAAATAACAAAAACAATACAAAGAACCTAAAATTAAAAATTAACTTTTATCTTGGCGGTGGTGGGATGGCTTGGCAGTTAAGAGCACTTGTTCTTGCAGAGGACCAGCCATCTGGTTCTCTATTTCCATGGCCTCCAAAGCCCTCTTCTGACTTCTGTGGGAACCAGGCATACATGCATGTAAACCATTCAGACACATAAAATAAATCTAAGAAATCTAAAAAAATGCTATATGGAAAATTTCACGCATACAGTATGAAAACATTCCATAATGACCATTCCTATGTCCTTGTCTCTTTTCAACAGTTTTTTTCCCCCCAACGGTAATATTGATGCTAGCCTGAATATATTTAAAGCCAGTCCAAATATAATTTCATTCATGAATGCTCTAGTTTACATTTCAAAGAGATAGAAAGTTTAAACTATCAGTACTAAACATACTTTTAAAAGTAATATTAAGGGATGCTGAGATGGCTCAGTGCTTAAGGACACTCGTTGCTCTTGAACAGGCTCCAGGTTTGGTTTCTAGGACCTACATGGTGGCCCATAACCATCCATAACTCCAGTTGCAGGGGATCCAATGTCCTCTGCTGGCACCTTTAGTGCACCAGGTACACACTTGGTGTACTTACAATCTTACAATCATGCAGGCAAAATGTTCACACATATAGAGTAAATCTTAAAAATATAATTCTTTAGTTTCAAGTATTCAACTTTCATCATCTCCCATTTTTGAATATTTTGTTTGAATATTCACATTATATTATTAATATTTACTAGTTTCATTTTTGGATGGAATACTTTTTTTCAAAATAATCTAGCAGTAGAGGACATAAATGTCAAAACTTTACCTTTTAGAATACTGTTAGCTGGGCATAGTGGCACACGCCTTTAATCTCAGCTCTAGGGAGTCAGGGGGAGGTGGATCTCTGAGTTTGAGGCTATCCTGGTCTACAGAGTAGTTTCAGGACAGCCAGGGCTACACAGAGAAACTTTCAAAAATCCATATAAACAGGGAAAAAAGAGATTATGTTATACAAAGATTATGTTCTTTTGTCTTGTTGGATTTAACAATCCTTAGTTTTCACATTGGAATTAACTGTTTTCTGCTTCAGGGAACTTATTTTCTAACGTAATAAATTGTTAAGAAATATTGATAAGGGGGGGGTTAGAGAGATGGCTTAGCAGTTGTGAATATTTGCTGCCCTTGTAGAGGACTCGAGTTTGATTGCTGACACCAACATTGAGTGAATCAACAATTGCCTATAACTCAATGACTGAGAATGGTAGATACATATTTAATCCCAGCACTTGGGAGACTGCAGAAAGCACATATCTGTGAGTTCCAGTCTAGCCAGGGCTATGCTGTGAGACCATCTCAAGGGAAAAAATATTGATAGAGTTGTAAAATCTAAATAAAGCAAGTAGGATGGGTGCCTTGTGAGTTGTGTGTTTGTGAAACACAGAATGAAGTAGAATGACTCCTTGGAATGAAGACACTGAGTGTGTGTCTAGAAATGACGTGGGACAGAGGGGACATATCAGCCTATGTTCTATACTAAAACAGCCGCCATGGAAATGTGTGCCCAGAATGGCATGTACTCCCTAATTAATTACGTATAAACTATACCTCAGTTAGATTAAAAAAGAAGAAGCAAGGCTTTGGAACATTTGTTTTGAGCCTTGTTCTAACGCTCCCCCCACCCCCCGCAAAGTACGAGACACAGGGCTAGACAGGTATGTGGGATATACCTGCAATAGTAGGCCGTGGGATGCTGAGGCAGAGAGAGGGAGCATGGGTTCTAGGTCACCCTGGCTAAACAGCTTAAGCCATCTAAAGTGTTACAATTCTGTGATTAGTATTCTTTATGGACCTTTAATGCCAGTGTTTATGAATTTGAACTTAACTTGTTTTTAGGCAACTACTCTGAGAATGAGGAAATTGGAAGAGAACATTGAAACAGAAAGAGCAGCACATTTGGAATCAAAATTTAATTCTGAAATTATTCAGGTAAGATGCAAATGTACTTTTGGCATAAGTTTTCTCAGGTTGTAACAACTAGGAAACGAAGGTATGTGCTTTGGATCCCTGTTAGGGGTGATGGTGGCACTCTGTGGCCTCAGGCCATGATGTCACCGCTGTCTGCTCCTAAGTATTGTCTCGTCTGTGTCTGCATTTGTACTGCAGTGGAAGAGCACAGTGTTGCCACAGACCCAATGCCTTGTGTGAATATCAGTTGGCTTTCTGTGACTTTACTGGAATACACAGATGACCTAAGCTGAGAACTTTTAACTCTAAGTCCATAAGGTTTGTTTGGCTCATGCTTCTTAAGGCCATGATTGGGTGGTCCCATTTCTTTGGTTCTCTGGCGAGACACCACACCACGGGCGAGTACACTCACCTCTCACTTTGTGATACAGGAAGCAAAGCGAGAGAGGGTGAAACTGGGTCCCACTGCACTCTGAGGCCACACTCTTGCTGATACCCGGGCCTTCTATATGATTCCTTCTCCTGTGGGCCTGTAGCACCACCCAACATTGCTGTTCTACGCACTAGGTTTTTGATACTTACATTCAAGATCCAAAGTGTAACATCTTGAGAAACACGAAATATTACTGTTTGATACTTTGCAGATTTTCCTGTTTTCTGTTTATTCTTGTTCCTTTTACCATTTATCCAAGCTTAGCTTTCTGTGTACTGGCTTTTGCTATCTTCAGGATGCGTGATCAGTACATTATTCTGTAATATTCCACAGAAAACGTTACAGACTCTCCTTAAAGTGGTAGATAGCTATTCAACAGCTATATATCATTGTTTTGAGGGAATGCACTTTGTGTGTTTATTCTGCTGTTTGTCTAATCTTAAGATGTTGTATTATGGAAAATTCAGATATATGCAAAAGTGGGCAGATTATTAAAATCAACTTCCGATGTGCCCATCACCCACCTTTAATTCTGCCTCAAGCCAGTTGTGCCTTGCAGCTATCCCTTGCACTATTCTGCTTCCACATATTAAAGGAAATCCAAGTTATCAGGTCATATAACCATAAATAATTCAGTTAAATAGAGTTGTTTGATTACAGAGGGTCCTCTTCTACAGTAAAAAAAAAACCCCTCAGGGGTGAAGGGCTCTGTTTAAGATTTTTTCTTTTTAACTTAAAATTGCATTTATTTTTGTATATGTATGTGTGTGAGTGTTTGTGTGCCACAATGCACATGTGAGGGTTATAGATGACAACTTGTGTGAATTGATTCTATCCTTCTGCCATGTGGGTTGTGGTGACTGAACTCAGGTCCTTAGGCTGAGTGGCAAGTGCCTTTACCCTCTGAGCCATCTTACCAGCCCATTGTAAAGCTAATAATGATATTCATGTCATAATGTATCTTTTCAGTTTTCAAAAACTGCTTAAAATATTTTGTAAAAGAAATGTGAATGCATTAGAAGGTAAAGATAGGCCAGATGATAGTATACCGATTCATGCTTTTCATATCTCAGTTCTTCATTCTTCTGTACTATTTTTTTTACATCACATGCTTTAAAAAAGAGACTAAGCTTTTGTTTTCTTTTTTTAGATTTTTGTGCATTAATATTTTATTTTTGAGATTTTAATTTAATGACATTTCTTCTTTTTCTTTTTTCCCTCTAAACCCTCCCATAAATCCCTCCATGCTCTCTGAATTAATCACCTCTATTTTCATTAACTGTTATTGCATGCATATATATTTTTGTATATACACATATATTCCTGTGTATAACCTGTTGAATCCATATAATGTTGCTTGTATGTAACAGGCTGGTAGGATTTGCTGAAGGAGACAGAGGCAGGAAGACCTGGGGTTCAAAGATAGCCTGTTTATTTTACTTTTAAACAAAAACAGAAAGAAATGTTTAGATAATTCACAATCCGTTGTTGATAAAAGAGTCTATTCAATGTATGATGGAAACAAATATTTCTTAGATTTCTAAAAATTACTTCTCTGTCTTCTGGTAGTTACGGATTCGAGACCTTGAAGGAGCTTTACAAGTAGAGAAAGCCAGCCAAGCAGAGGCTGTTGCTGATCTAGAAATGATCAAAAATGAATTCAAAGAAGTTGAAAGTGCATATGAAAGAGAAAAACACAATGCACAAGAAAGCTTTGCAAAACTGAATTTGTGAGTATCTTATGGTAAAATTCTGAATTTGTGTGAAGGTTTTATGAATGCTGAGTTTGAATATGTAGTACTTTATATACTAATATTAAGCTGCTCTTAAAGTCTGTGGAAAGCAGGAAGCAAAGGTCTTTATCAGACATATGCAGATGACCTTGAAGGTAACTATGGGGATACTTTCTTGCTCTGAAGTGTTCTAAGCAGTCCCAGAAATGCATTTATACACTAGAAGAAAATATATTAATATACATGCATTTTTATTAATATAATGGTATCTTATTGGAAGCAGTAGATAGGGAACTGGACAGGAGTCTTCCACAGACAACCTCTTAAAGACTCTACTGATTGAGGTATCAAAACAGAATCTTATGAAAGAAGGGGGAGATAGAAAGACCTGCAGGGGACAGGAGCTCTAAAAGGAGACCAACAGAGCCAATAAAACTGAGCCCCGGGAGGCCTTGCAGAGACTGATAACCCAACCAAGGACCATGCATGGAGAGAACCTAAAACTTAGCCTCCTCAGTTGTAGCCCATAGACTCAGTCACCAAATGGGGTCCCTAGTAAGGGGAGCAGGGTTTTCTCTGGCATGAACTCAGTGGCAGGCTCTCTCATCACCTCCCCCTGTTGGGGGGGGGTGGAGCCTTGCCAGCCCACAGAGGAAGACAATGCAGCCAGTCCTGATGAGACCTGATAGGCTAGGGTCAGATAGAGGGGCATGAGGACCTCCCCTATCAGTGGACTAGGGGAGGGGCATGGGAAGAGAAGAGGGAAGGAGGGTGGGATTGGGAGGAGATGAGGGAGGGGCCACAGCCAGGATACAAAGTGAATAAATTGTAATAAATAATAATTAAAAAAAGAGAAAAAACTGAAAGCTTGATGAGAGAAGCCTTAGCTATACTGATTCATTTAAAATCTACTTAGTTAAATTGCAAAATATAATTTCTTCAATGGCTTTTTGAGAGATGTAAGAATTCAGATGCACACACCCTGAGTAGATATGTTCTGTCATTTTAATAAGATCTAAGTGGGATCCTGGATTGTCACAGAGTATGCCTGTATTGCTGCTTGTTGGAAATTCTTATACAAATTTAGCCTCAGGATCAGACACTGACTTATCATGCTCACACTGTGATATAAAGATGAGTCCTTGTCACTTCTGGTATGGAGAAAAGTAATTGCATTATCTCTGAACTGAGAGCATTTACAGTGGTCAGTAGATTAAAACTTTCTTCAATTTCTATTTCAGAGGTACTACAGTGGGCACCATGATGAACATACATGCTTTCTTTGATCAGTATTTCTTTCCCTCCTTTTTACTAAAGTTGGTGTCAAATAAAATCAGGGAAAAATCAGCCTAGCAAAAACAGAAACGAGAAAATACACATTACTTATAAACTAGGTCATTGACATTAGATGATCAAATATTCAAATGTTTGGCATTAATTCATCTAAATTAAAATTGGGTTTGCATAAAGCAAAACAACAACAACTAAAAACAGTGTCTTAAATACCTTGATTTGTAAACTGCATGGGGAGATAATGCTCAGGATTTTTTTGAACTATAGAAATAATAGTAGTAGCAATAATGTTACAATTAGTGGGAAACATACATTATCACTCTGTATATGGCCACCAAATAATTTTATTTAACTGATTTAACATCTTACATTTTCTTTATCTTGCTCTTTTTTTGTGTGTGTGTATGTGTGTGATATGAGTGTACATATGTTTGTGTGTGTACCTCTGTGCATTTGGAAGCTGGAGGGTGATGTGGAGTTGCTCTCCATGTTATTATCATGAACCTCATGAACCTGGAGCTCAGCAATTCAGCGAGACTCGCTGGCCAGTGAGCTCCAGAGATGCAGCTGTGTCTATTCCCCCAGAGCTGGAGTTAGCAGATCTCAGCTCAGGTCTTCAGGCTTGTGTGGCATGCAGGTTACTGACAGCTTTCTTCTCTACCTTTTATGTTGTTGTTGTTTTTCTAGACAGGGTTTCTCTGTGTAGCCCTAGATGTCCTGAAACCTCACTCTGTAGACCAGGATGGTCTCCAACTCACACAAATGTGCCTGCCTCTGCCTCCCAAGTGCTGGGATTAAAGGCGTGTGCCACCACCACCCAGCTCTCCTTTACTTTTTAATACCAGTTTTGCAGACATGAAAATAGTCTAAATAAAGGTGAGGACTCATAGTTCACATGTGGGTGCCAGCATCTGACTCCTGCTGATTTCACCCTTTTCTAGCTGAAAAGGCTTCATCTTGAAAATTCTATGAAATGCTATTAAAAAAATGGAAGATTTTAATATGTTTCAAAAAATTTCTTGATAGTAGCCATTTTACACCATTGTCCCCCAAATAAGAGTTATACTGTTATTGGTAGCTTTATTCTTTGTGTGTGTGTGTGTGTGTGTGTGTGTGTGTGTGTGTGTTTATTTATTTTGGCAGGGTATATCTGAGTATTCCTTGCTGCCCTAGAACTAGCTATGTTGACCAGGTTGGCCTCAAACTTACAGAAATCTGCCTGCCTGTGCCTCCCACTTGCTAAGATTAAAGGTTTATGATACCACACATAATTTCTTATTCTATTTTTGTGTTGAGATAGAGTCCCACATAGTTTTTTCCAGGATGTTGCAAACTTTTTATTTAGTCTAGATAACCCTCAAACTTGGAATCTTTTGCTTCAGCCTCCCTAGTCACTGGGATTTCAGGTTTTCCAACTCAGGTCACCAGGCTTGTATGGCAAGTACCTTACTTGCTGAGCCATCTCCCTGGCCCTTCGCTGAGTTTTCTTGCCTTTTCTAGGATCATATCCTATATCTACTATTCTCAAGATAGTTTCATTCATTTTAATCATTGCTTGAATCTGCACATTTATTATATTTGAATACTTTCAAATGTTCAAATCTGTGCTTAAATATTAAGCAAAATAGAAATATATATGAAGAGCTTTTATGAAAAGTCTAATATGTTTCTTTAGTTTTGCTTTGATGTAAGAAGTAAACCTGCAAGATGGCAGATTGGGCACTTAGTGATTAAAAGATTTTGAGTTCAGTATCCTTGAACTGATAAATTTCTTGCCCTGGCAAAATCAAAGCTGAAGGTAGAAGATTCTCTCATGGATGTAGCTGGAGTCTCCACAGGTGGGACTCGTAAATTTCAAGATCCCTGCTCTAAGAATCTCTCACCTGTGTCAGTTTAGACACAGGTAGTTGGACGTCCAAGGAAATTATTTTTTTTTTCCGAGGAAATTCTTTCCTGAAGTTTTGTTGTTTATTCTGTTTTGGTTGGAGGTTGGACATTTTGCTTAGATTTTGTATTCCAGTAAATACCAACTGATGATTCTGAGCACTTATAACCAACTTCTTGATTTTATTTTATTTTGTTTTTTTTTTAATATATATAATGACCCTGTTATAGTTTGCATAGGAAGTATCTCTAAAAAGGTTTATGTGCTGAAGGCTTAGTCTGTGGCTGGTTCTTAAGGGCTGTGACCTTAATTTAGTTGATGAATTTATAATTTTACATCTTTATAGGGAGATAGAGGAAGTAGGTGGCTGAGGGTGTGCTTTTGAAGGGTGCAATGTGGCTCCAGTACTTGTGTGCTTTGCTTGGCCTCCTGGCTGCCTTGATGTCTGCAACTTTGCTTGACTACATTCTCGTTGCTGTGACAGTCTGTCTTACTCAGGGCCTATCAGCAAAGAGGCCAACTTAACATGATCTGAAACTTATAAACCCTGAACTAGACATCTTTCTGATTTTTTTCATTAACAACTTCAACATTTTTATTTAGTGTGTGTACGTGTTTATGTATTTGTTCATGCGTGTGTGCCATGGTAGATTTTTAGAGGTCAGAAAATGTTTTGCAGGAGTTGGTTTTCTCCTACATGTGGGTCCCAGGGATTTGAACTCAGACTTAGAAACAGGTGCTTTTACCCTCTGAGTCATTTTGCTGGCAGCTCTTTTTCTGCCTTTAAAATTATTTTGTCATCGTTTTTGTCACAGTGAAAACAAGTGACTAATGGAGTCCCTTAGTCATTTTTCATTTCCGTGTAATTGTGTTACAACACACGTTAATAACAATAGTACTGATAACTAAATACTTGAAGTCCTTGTACTCACTGATGTTCCTGCAGATCTTTTCTCCTCCCTGTTGTTTCTTTTCTTGTGTATCATGTGAAAGCTGTTTCTGTTGATGTGTGGTGCGAGAATATTATGTGAAGACTGAGAGTATCTAAGTTAACGAGTCCTGACTGCACACCTGACATGAGTGTCTTCATGGAGGATAGGTTTTTTTATTGTTGTTGTTATTATTATATTTGATTTTCTTTTTGAGACAGAGTCTCTCTACATAGCCCTGGCTGTCCTGGAACTTACTATGTAGACCAGACTGGCCTTGAACTCACAGAGATTCATCTGCCTCTGCCTCCCAAGTGCTGGGTTTGAAGGCGTGCTACCACACTGGGCAAAGATGGATTTATTCTAACTCACAGCTCAGGCTAGAAAAGATGAGGTGTTAGGACATCTCTTGCCCATGGTGACAGAAATGGTAGGTTGCTTGGTTACATCTTAATGAGCCAGGAAGTGCAGAGTTCAGTTGGGAAAAATGCTGGGTTATAACCTACAGAGCCCACTTCTCAGTGACTCGCTTCCTTCAGCTGGTCCTTACCTCTCAGAGTTTCTACAGCCTTCTAGAGCAGTGCCATCAGCTTGGGACTAAGTGTTCAATGCATGAACCCGTGGAGAACATTTCATATTCAAATCATAACAATGAACTACCTCATTTTCTGCTTCTCGCTTTTCAGAATCTTTAAAGTTTCATTTTAATTTTTGTAAATTAAAATAAATGAATAATAATGAATTTGAATAATAATAATAATAATGAATAATGAATAAAATAATGAATTTTTTGTTTTGTGTTTACATTGGAATAATATTTTTTTTTTACTTGGCAAAAATCATGAGCTACATTTAAAAAAGTTTATCTATTCCTTGAAAAATTCATACAT